AAAAAAAAAAAAAACAGAGAAATACACGGGTGGTAGAGTGGAATGGAAAGGCGGAAGGGGAAAGGAATGATTGAAATGAGTGGCTTTCGAATGTGTAGATCTTAGCATAACAGCAGCACACGAGAAACTTAAAAAAAAAAGAAGCCAGTACTCTGTACGGATGTGTGTAAGTGTGTATGTACTTTCATGTGGGAGCACACACTTGTTGGTGATTGGACGCTATGCGTAATCCACCAACGATATGCCAGTGTCCTTTTTTTTTTCCATCTAGTCATCCCCTCGCCCCCATTTTCCCCCTCCTGAACGTTACTCTCTCTTCCACTTCTTCATAGCGCGAAACAAACTGAGCATTGCATTCTTTCTCTTTTCCCTCTCCTTCCTCTGCCCGCATCAGATTCTATTCCCTATTATTTTTTGTTTTCTGACCGTTGTCTCACACGCCCACCTTTTTTTTCTTTTTTTTTTGTGTCCATCTAAAGATGTTTTATTGTTTTTTTCTTCGCTCTCGTCCTCGCCCTCTCTCTCTCTCTCTCTCTCTCTCTCTCTCCCTCTCTCTCTCTCTCTCTTTCTCTGTTTGAAAAGGGTATGCGTGCGAGGGTATGCGCATGTGCATGTTTCTTCATTCACATCTTCTACTCTTTCCATCCTTCATTCCTTCCTCCTTCCCCTTGTCTGTAAACCTCTCTGAAAGCTAACTATCCTTCCCCTTCAGTCGACCCTCACTTTTTCGGCAGCAAGCGGGACCGCTGGGAGTCCGTCATGGCGTTAAGCTCCTCTGGCAGGAAGCAAAATAGGTGTGAAGGCAGAACGTTGCCGTTTGGCAGCCTTGTCTCGGGATCGTGAAGCTCGTCAAAGAGCGGGTGACACAACGCCTCCAGCGGAGCTATGCGCTGCTCAGGGAGGTACTTGAATATCTTCCCGCAGAGATCATACACCTCAGTAGGGAGCGGCCGCTTGAAGACATCCTCCCACGGCATCGGCTTCGGGTTGGGCAAGTTGAACTCGGTGAGGCTGGTGTTCAGTTTCTGCATTTCCTCCCGAGATGGCCGACCGAGGACCTTCACAATCTCGCGCAGCTGTCCAGCCGTGCTCTCACCGCAGAAGATAGGCTCGCCGAGCAGCATCTCCGCAAAGATGCAGCCGACAGACCAGGTATCCACCGCTGTGGTGTAGTGCTGGTTGCCGAAAATAAGCTCCGGCGCACGGTAGTAGCGTGAGCAGATATACGCCACGTTCGGCTCCGTTGGCGACAATTTCTTGGCGCTTCCAAAATCGCACAATTTCAGATCACCAGTGGACTCATCCACAAGCACATTATGCGGTTTGATATCACGGTGGCACACGTTGACGACAGGCAGATGAAGGCATGCAATGCTCCGCAGCAACTGATACATAAACACCTTCACCAATATCATTGGTGTTTGAGAAAGTCGGCGGCAGTAGTTTTTGCACGCGCGATGCAGCGTGTCAGGAACAAACTCCATGACAACGTTAAGGTAGACATCGCTCTGCCGGTGCTCCCCTCCAAGGGTGTAGAAATAGCCCCTCAGCATCACGATGTTTGGGTGACGAATGCGAGCTAAATCCTGCATAATCTGCAGCTCGCGGTTCTTAAATCGTGGATCCTGGATAACCTTCTTTATTGCTACCTTTGTCCCTCTGTCCTTTTCGCGAGCGAGCTGCACAGTGCCGAATGTGCCTTGCCCAGCCACACGCTCCACCGAGTACTTCTCCATCTCCTTGTAGCTGCGCTCATCGGCTGCCTCGGAAAGATTCCGCGACATGGAGTCCTTTTCTGAATCTCTTAGGGTTTTCACTGTTGATGTGACTGTTTGTATTCTCTCTTTTGCGATCCTATTGGTTTCTCCTCCTTATATCGCTCTTCGTCTGTGGGGGAGGGAAGGAGGGAGGGTGCCCGATGGGTGCGTGTATGCCTGTGTGTAGGTATTTGTAAGTAAGTGTGCGTGTTTGCGTATATACCTGACTGAGGGATGCGACTACGTGTGGACCCTTCTATTAAACTACCTTCCTCTTCTTCCCTCGCCTCTCTTCGTTATGCAATGTTTCTCCTAATGGCGGCTTATACGATCAGATGAAGGCCACAACACGAAAAAAAAAAACACAAAGAGATGGGAAGGAGAGAGAGAGAGAGAGATGTATATATGCTGCTCGCACAAACCCCCAAAACAACAACAACAAAAACAAGTCCGCAGCCGCAGCAACAGAAACAACTACTACAATGGCAGTAGTAGCAACCGTAAAAGTAAGAAGTTGGCTTTTCAGTTGCAATAGCTTCTCTGCCACACAGCTTAGCATCACTCCTCCCACCTCTGTTTCAAACACACACGCAGACACGCATAAACACACTGGATGAGTTAAAAGTTGTCCCTCACAACAACGGCAGCGACTTCCCACCATAAATATCACCACACATCCAAGCAGTAATCGGGCCGCCAGCCGAACGGAGCAAACGAACGGAAAAGAAACAAAGCGAACACAAAAAAAAAAAACACCGAGGTTAAACGCGCCAAGACATAAAAGCAAAAAAAATGAACACAACAGTTCACTTTCTCTTACGATTGACGAAGACCTTGGACGCGGAGGTACAAGAGCTCCCCTGAAGAATCCACTGTCTCTGCAAAGTCAAAGCCGAACGGTAGCCATACATCCACACACACCGATGTCAGCTCGTCCACCTCTATCTGCAGACCCTCGAGGTCCTTCACCAGCGCAGCGCAGAGTGCGTCATCGTGCACCTCCTCAAGGACACGGTGGACAACCTCCTTCCCGCGCCGCTCCACGTCCGTCTCATCGGCCGCCTGCTGCTGCAGCGCATGTAGCTTCTGCATAATTTCCTTCGCCTGCACCGCCACCTCTACGTTGGCACGCACAATGTCACGTGGCAAGTCCGTGACGGGCGTGCACCTCGACGCCTTTGGCTTCCCGCTCTTACCCTTCTCTTCCGCGATGATGACACCCGTGTTTGGCGCGTACGGCCGGTAGACATCGACGACGAGTTCCGAAAAGAACTTGAGCCCGTACCGTATCTTTGACTTCGGCGACGCGAGGTAGTCGACGACGCCAACGCGTGAGGCCGACGGCAGGCGACGGTTGCTGCTGAAAGCGCTGTTAAGAATCTCCAAAAAGAGCGTTGGCGCCCGCAGCACCCGCACAACGAGATTAGCACATTTCGGGTCATCCACCGCCGGCATCGTGTACGGCACCGGCGCGGTGAGCCACCGCAGGAAACTCCTTGCGAGACTCAAGACACTTTTCTTTGCGCTGGAAACATCCTTCACATCGTCGAGTCGCGGGCACGCGCAGTCGATCTCCACAGTAGTGTCAAACACCGCCAGCGCGAGCAGGATGGCGCGCACCTTCTGAAAGGTGGTATCCAGCAGCGTGGGCTTTGCTCGCTTGGGGGATTTCTTTCGCGGCTCCTCTACCACTCCCTCGCGCTGGGCCATGCGATACAGCGCGTCGAGAGCATTGAAGGCGGTTGTCGTGTACTTCGAAACGGTCTCTGGCATGCCAACGAGTTTGCCAATGCGTTCGGCGATGGGATGCACAATGTACTTGACGATGTACGCCCGCTGCTCAGCCTCGGCCAGTAACGCAATGAACGGTGTAATGGTAGGGACGTGCGTCGGTGTGGTGATCGCGACATCGACGCTCAGCGGGGTGCACGCCGCTGCGGCCGTACGCACCGCTGTTGGCGGCGCTGCTGTGACACAAACGCGCGCGTCGAGGGAGTGCAACAACATCTCCACTGCGCCGGAGAGCATCAAGTTCTCTGTGGCCTTTTCGTTCCACGGGGCTTTCCTCGCCACCTCCTTCGCGTTCGTGAGTTCGTTCGCGATCCACTTCGTGAAGACCTGTGTCATCTGCACGGCGGTCGCCGCAGGATCGACGATGCGGCCGCCATTGGCAGCTTTGACCTGCATCACAAGAGAGACCCGCAGCACGTGGAGTGTGCGATCTCCACTCCGCTCCCGCAGGAACCGAAGGGAGCCCTTGTAAAAACTCTTCCCAGGAATGTGGCGTAGGTCCGGCAGTGCCGCCAGCCCAACGGCCTTCTCGTCTATCTGCTCCCACGGCTGCAGCCTCGCCCGTTTCGCATCGCACGCCCCACACTTCTTATAGTGCTTCTGCGCCCACGGCTGAGTTGCACGTATCTCGTTGCGCAGCACAACAGCGATGCTGGTGCTGCGCGTTGACGGGCAAGGGACAGACGGAGTGGATGGCCGTCTCGCTGAACTCGGTGTGACGGCCTGCGTGGCGGCAGTGCTGAGCTTTGTGAGCAGGATACCATCTGTGAGCACCGCCTCCTTCACACCGTCTTGTATGTCGTAGAGCAGGTTGTCCACCGCCTCGCAGCCGGTGTCGAACTTCACCTCCTTCAGCGTGCCGTCGGTCTCCGCGGCGAGGTACTCACCCTTTGCGACGCGCAACCGTGTCACCCGCGAGATGAGGTCCTGGAACGCCTGCTTCTGATCATCAAGCAAGCTTTGCAGCGTGTCTCGCTGCCGCTCCATCGACTCCATCACCTGCTGGTGCCGCTCCCTCTCCGCGCATATCGCCCGCTGCAAGTCCTCAACCGACGGCATGGTTGTGCCAAGTTCTTTTCGCCTTGGCTCTCCCCCCGCCCCCCTCTCTCTCACTCTCTATGCGTGTACGCGCGTATCTAACCCTTGGCAGCGCAGCGCAGCACAGCAAAACGAAATGCGGAAGAGGAAAGACGAACAAAAGACGGATCGATAGAGAGACATACAGAGACAATGCAGCAGTGAGAGTGTCAGGGCAAGGGAAGGAACAGGGAGGGGGGGGGGGACACAGAAATGGCGGCGTTTCAAAACGCCAATCATATAGCGCATACAATGGGACACCGCAATACACATTATGCGTGAGCAAAGGTGACGCTGTAAGCTTCTCGAAACGGTCGCTCTCAGTATTAAAACAACCACAAAACAAAAGAAACACACCCAAACGCCTGGAAGAGCATCAACCATGAACTTCGGAAGGGAAACCGGATGAAAACGACGAGGCTGGCAAAAAATGGTGAGAGCAAACGACCTAAAACAATAAGGCTTCATACAGCAGATAATGAAGGCAAGCGCGTGTATGATTGCTGCAGCAGCAACAGAGAGAGAGAGAGAGAGAGAGAAAGGAAGAGGGTGGTCCTTACTCCATGTTCAAAGAAGCGGCCTCTGCATTCGGGTCCTTCTGCAACGCATCCAGTTTTTTCCGCCAGTACGTGTCAAACGCAACGGTAACGCGCCTCAACCCCTCCTCCACAGTATCCTCTGTAGTGTCGAACGTTACGACCTCGCCCTTAAACTTCACGTCCTCAAGGAATTTAATCTTCTCCTCTATGTTCGGCTGCGCCTCGACACGGGCGATGGCCTCACGCTGCTGCACGCGGTGGCGCGCCATGACGCGGCGCACAGCAACACCCTTGTCGCACGTCGTAACCCACACATCGTCGCAGAGTGATAACATGTTGCTCTCAATAAGAAGAGCGGCCTCTAATATTATCAGCAGCAGATTCTTCTTGTCTGACAAGGCCAGGACAGAAACCTTCTCAATTTCCTCCTCAATGGCATTCTGAATGTGCGGCCAGCAGATGTCGCTGAGCCGCCGCAACTCTGCGGAGCGAGGTGTGTGGAAGACAATTGCACCAAGTTTTTTCCGGTCGATGGGCGGTTCCGCGCGCTCGCCCCCATTTTGCCGCCTTTTCTCCGACTGCTCCAACACGTTCTTGCCGAAGGCTGCAATCACCTCGTAGTAGCACGGCTTCCCCGGGGCGTATATGTCGTGCCCTATTTTGTCTGCATTAATGCTGTGTGCGGCGAAGGAGTGCAGCGGATGCCGTGCGCGTGACTGCGCGAGTTTAAGTACGTGGCTGCACCGCACGGACTTGCCGCTCGCGATGCCGCCGGTCACGCCGAGGGTCACCACACGTGGGAGAAGTGTGACACTCAAGCGCGTGTGGGAGCAATGCAACATCTAAATCATTCAGACTGACTCGTCTGCTTTGCTGTAGCTATCGGACGCAAACAGGGAGGGAGAAGCCAGCGCGGCATTCTGTCGGCTGCGTAGAAGCAAAACAAAAAAGGGAAAGCTGTGCGCGTGGGTGGGCACCCCGCCCTACCGCGCCGTGCCGTGCCACCCGGCCCACACACGCACACGTAAGCTTCGGAAGCAGCGTAAGAACAGAAAACTGCATTCTGCATTCCTTTTCCTTGTGTGTGTGTGTGTGTGTGTTTATTTTCTCTCTTCAATTCAATATTTTTTTGGTTTGATTTACTCATCGCACTATCCCTCGAATCGCCTGCCCTCTCGCTTGCTTCTTTACTCTCTTAATCACGTTTCACAGGAGGTATCCTGTTTAGGTGTTGTTTTAAATCCCTCCCCATTCACTCTCTCTCTCACACACCCACACCCACACACACAGACGCAGAGAGACGCACACCGCTCTCGCTCGCACGTCCGGCCAACTCGCTATGCTCCCGTGCACCAGCAGCACAGCGGCGGCGGGCCGCGGGAAGAATGCAGCTCGCCGCCCCAGCGCCCAAATGCCCGTGGGCGAAGGCACACAACACCCACACACACACACGCAGACACAGACACCATCACACGGGCAGGTAGACACATACACCGTCTAACTCAAAGGCGGGCACAACCAACACATTCACCGGAATAAAGAGTGATGACATAATCCTCTCCAAACTCTTTTATATCCGTGTCATCTTCTCCCTCACTCTCCTACTTCTTTAGCGGTGTTATGTTCTTCTGGTTTTCCTCCTCTTTTCTACCTTATTTCAAGTATTTTTCCCCCACCCCTTCCCTTACTCTTTTGCACCTTCTTGTTAAATCCCGCTTCCCTGTCTCGATGTTTGTTTCATTCTTTTTCTTTTTCATCGTCTCTGTTTTCCGTGCCGCTACCACCGCCGCACGACGCACCGCAACCTCAGGGTACGCAGAGAGATGGAGGGAAGGACGTTACATTCGACTGGCTCCGTTAGATAGTAGGAGAAGGGGAGAGTGTTTTAGCACGCCAGTTCCTGCGGATGCGTAGGAATACCCACCGGGCCGCGCCGTCGTTTTGTGTTGGCACCTCTCTTTAAATATTTTTCTTCATGCTTGTGTCTTTTTTCTGTTTCCTTTCGTTTATTTTTTTTTTTGTGCTAAGTTGGTGGGTTATTGATCTCGTCTTTTTTTTTTTCGTCCTTGTTTTACTGCTTGCTCGCTTACTGGTGTGATTCTCCCTTATATAAGTATTTCCTTTTCGCCCCCACGGTGCTGTCGTTCTTCCTTCAACACGCACGCACATGTGTCACTCCTTGCGGCCCAGCCACTGCTGCTACACCCCTGCGTGGCGGCTGCAAGGGGACGCCAGCGTCGCAGCAGCAGCAGCAGTAGTAGTAGTAGTAGTAGTAGTAGTGGGGGAAGGAACGCCTACCTTCCCACGCATTCATTCATTCACTCCTCTCTCTCCCACCCACCCACACATGCACACACCTATATATATATATATATATATTAGGCGTGCGTGGAGTGAAACGAAACAACACAGCAGGGTCAGCAAGCCAATAAATCAAGAAAAAACGACAACAAGCACACATACACGAAAAAAAAAAAACGCATGCATCTGAGCGAATACCCACACAAGGAGAATGCAAAAGAGACCCTCTTCATGGATTTCACAAACGCGGCCTACGCGGAAACCTCCACCGGGGCATTGGTGGGCGCAGCAGTGTACTTCTCACGGACCTCGTCCACTTGAATACGGTGGCCGCCGGGGCTTTTCTTGCCCTTGTTGGCCGCCAGCACCTTCGCCACTGTCGCCTTAACGTCGTCGCCGGCGTCCTTGATGGCGTTGTGATCCAGCTGCACGAAGGCAAAGGTACGCACCACATTCGAGTCCTTCTTGTCGTTTTGCGAAAGAAGTTTGACGAGCTTCACAGGCGCAGTCGGTTCAACAATGTCGCGCACCATCTGTTCCGTGGCATCGGTGGGGAGGCCCTTAACGATGACATCGTAGAAAACCACAGATCGGCTCAGCGTGCGGCCATCAGCGTCCCTGCGCTTGGTGTTCTCGCCATTGTTACTGTTGTTGTTACGATTATTACTGCCGCCCTCCTTATGGTTGTTGCCTGCAGCAGAGCGATCGGCGGTTGGCTTTCCATTTCGCTTCTCACCCTCGCCACTCGCGTGAACTCCTGTGGGCCTCTTTGTGGTTATGCCGTTCCGTGGGGCACTCTTCGTCACATCCTTCTCGGTCGTGTCCTCTTTGTTTGTCTCCTTCTTTTCATTTTCCTTCGCCGGCACCTCGGCGGGCTGCTGCTCTTTGCCCTCCTTCGCCACCACCACGATAGGCGCAGCGTGGGCCTGCGATGCGCCACCGCGCTTCCCCATCAGGATGGCCTCAGCGAAGCTCTTTGGCTTCTTCACCTCCGCGGTCGGGGCGGGCTCAGCTGTTGGAGGTGCCTTTGTCGACTGCTCCGTCTCCTTCTCCGTCTCCGCAGTGGCGGGTGGCACGGCACGCGATGAAGGGGCGGTAGCCGGCTTAGCTGCAGCGACGTCAGCCACAGCAGCAGCTGCAGGGGCAGGGGCAGCCTTCTCAGATGCGGAATTACCAGCATTACCTTTGGCAGGCCTCTCTACAGGAGCAACGGCAGTCATCGCAGCCGGCTGTTCAATTGGCTCCATCGTGTCCTTAGCGGGCTCACTCGCAAACATGGGTGGTGTCTCCAGTGCCCACCGCCTCGGTGCCTCCTCGCGTGGGGCGCTCTCGCGATTGTCCGACACTATCCCGAAGCTTCCCGAGTGCGGCTCGTGCTCCGTGAGTTCCACTTCATGGGTAAAGTCGTGAATAGCACCTGGAGACGCCGTGATCGACCCCTTGATCGTCACCAGGAAGTTCCCATTGCTCTTCGTCACCGTTGAGAGGCTGTCAATCTTCGCTGACGCATTGGGCTGGACGGAATACAGCGCCGCGATAGCCGCCTCAATTTCTGCGGTGCCCTGCGCCTTGCGCCCCATGTGCAGGAAAGACGCTGTCGGGGTGTAGAAGGCCGGCAGTTCCCCCGGGCTCTCGAGCATGTGGGTGTAGTACTGGCGTGTGAAGCTAGCGGCAACGCGTTGCTGCCGTTCAGTGGAGGCGGTCATATTCTCCCTTTTCTGCCAAATGAAAAAAAGAAAAAGAAAATGACAACAACAGCGCAATGGACATGGGGAGAGAAGTATGCAGAGTTGACGGAAACGAGGAAACGCATTCTTGTCTGCAAGCAGCAAAACAGTGCGCTCTGACAACGCTGTTGAGGGCGCAACACATTTGGCACTCTACGCCCTCTTTCACACACACATACACCCAATGACTATTTTTTCGCCGCTGTGTCTGCTGGGCTTCTCCCTGTTGACCACAACAGCGTCTTCCGCTGCTCAGCACTCATCAACAGCTTTGCATCGAGGAACTCTTGAAAGTCCATCACCTTCCACTGCGAGTGCACGCGCTGGCACTTGTCACAGCGGCACGTCATAAGAATCCCAGACATACCGGCGCACTCACGTTGTTCGTGGTGATAGCTACGGCAGTGCGTGTCGGAGTCAAAAAGGATGGGGTTGGGAATGGGCCGGTAACCCTTTGCGTACCGCTGAACGGACTGACAGTGGCCGCAGCGCAGAAAGTACTTCTGGAAATAGCGGCTAGACATCTCACCTATTGCCGCCACTACGAAACGGTCATCACACAAAGGACCCCCAAGACAGCAACAAGTAGAAAGGGACAACAACGACCAATAAGTCAAACAATACAGCAAAAAAAAACACAGCAAGAATAACTATGCAAGACTTGAGTTCGTACTATTGTGTACTGCGAAGAACAAAACAAACAGCGTGTCCTCCCCCACGAAAGGATGGAAACCCAAATTCTTCAGCAAACCAACTTTTTCCTGCGCGGAATACGTGAATGTTGCTGCTGCTGCGTCTCCTTTGTAGAATACTCTAACCCAAGAAACTGACCTGTGCGACTCACCTCCTCTGCAACAGGGGCCATGTTCGGCTTCCATGAGCACGACGGACAGTACGCCGACCACGCGGTTGCGTCCGGGTGTAGGGGGCACTGCCCTTGCTCCACCGCACCGGTGCGGCTTCGAATCGTTGCACGGTACGGTCCCCCGCAGCTTTGGCATATCCATTCTGCGTTGAACTTGCTGGTGTGTGCAAGGGACCCTAGATTTTCCTTCTTGTCGCTCTCCATGAGCTGCTGCAGCAACTCTGGAGCAATCTCCATTAGTGGGGGGCTTGCGTGCTGTTCGTCAAGAACCTCAGAGGGGAATCGGCGCTTGCACATGCCGCAACCGGCATGAAATTTGGTGCGCACAGAGACGTTCTTGCGATATTGTGAGCCGCAGAAGGAACATTTCCAGTAAATACGGCGGTGATCATTCCAACGAATGTCGTTAAGATTGATGCCCAGCTCCTCTTCCGTCCGCGTGACGTCAATGTCAGCAATGACGGCGCTGTATCGATTCGTAAAGTTCACCAAGCGGTTGGAGTCCCGCGTGACCCAGTTGACGCCCTTCATTGGCAGTTTTCTGCCGACGCTGTAGTTGAGGAACATCGCGCCGTAGTGCATGTTGGGCCACACGCTTGACCAGCGGGACTTCTGCTTGAACTCCGCCGCCCGCAGAAGCCGTGATCGGTCCATCATTGCCCTCCTGCCTGCCTGTCTGTTTTTTTTTTTGTTTGCAACAACTAGGTCACCGTCTTTGGGTTTACCACAATACTCTTGCTATTCTTGATAATGGTGGAACTGTTGCCGTTGTGGATTCAACTAGACCCCCACCCCCACGCCAAAGTCCCTCACTGACAGAAGACAACAGCTCGGCGCCTGTTTCCGTCTCCTCGCCACTACTCTCTATCATTGGGGTAAGCCACACACACACACACACAGAGAGAGAGAGAGACAGAAGGGATATAGAATACGAGGACGAAGAAGAGATCACAAACACACGTTGTGAATTGCCTGCCACACAAAAATCAGACCTTCCTTGCAACCCAACACGGTCCGGGTCAATTACGTTTTCGATGATAAAAAAAAGGAAAGGGGGAAGAATAACACACTCTTAACTTTGGATTCCTGCAAATCAAAAAAGGTGGGAGAGAGTGACGGGAGAGTTACGTACACGTCCGGGTCGAGTTGAGTGGGAGTCTCGTGATTGTACGTTTGTGTAGGTGTGCGTCCGTGTGGAGCCCCAACATCACTGCGGATCTCCTTCGGTATATGACCCCACAACTAATGGAGACAGCTGAAACCCTCCTTTCGCTCGCTCTCTCTCTCATACACACACACACTCCCCCCTCCCTCTTATCTCGCTCCTCCCCTCACGCTACAAGCGAGTTATTCATAAGCGGCTTCGGCGGCGGTGGCTTCCGCGGCCGCTCCGGCATGGGCGCCTTCCGCACGCTCTCGTATTTCGGCGGAAAGGCAAGGAAGAGTGTCACGCGCAGCGACACGAAGATGATAGACCACAGAATGATAAAGCGAAACCACGCCTGCACCAGCGCCTCGTTCCCCGCAAGCGGGTTACGGCGCGGGTCCTTCGACGCCGCTTCGTCCGCCTCATCGTCGCCGAACGGATCCTTCTTGACGCGCCCCGTGTGCATCTCCTCGTAGAACTCATCGTAGCTAACCTTGTTCTTGTGCTGCCGTGTGGTGAAGCGGAAGTTGGTGTAGCGGTTACCGGTGTCAGCGCTGTTGCCGCCGTCGCCACCGCCCTCCACATTCTTCTGGATCCACACACCGCTCTTGACCTGCTCGTATGCCGCCTGAATCTCTTGGAACTTCTCGTGCGATCCACCCGGGGCGTCGGGGTGGTGCTTGCGCGCGAGCACGCGGTACGACTTCTTGATCTCCTCCTTCGACGCACCCTGCTTGATGCCGAGGACGGTGTACGGGTTGCTGCTGCCACTCGCAAAACGCGCCTGCTGAAGTACGGTGGTGGCGCCCAACGCGCCTCGTGAGTGGATGCACGAGGCCGATGTGCGGCGGGCCCCGCGCATGAGCAAATGGTATTGACTACGCCACATCACAAGAACGGTGAAGTAGGAGGAACCCCTCGCACAGCACTCAATTCAATATTTCTCTATCTGTCGATTTCTTTACGCTTGTTATTTGGTGATGGGGAGGATTACCGTTACACACCAGTGAAGAGTAGCACAGCCGCAAAGGAAATAAAAAAAGGAACGACCACTAAAAGGGGCGGCGCGGAACACACGACCGGACGCGTCCTAAGAGAGATGCTTCACCTCAGTGTGTGTCTCTTTGTTTGTCTCGCTGCTCCTTCTTCCCTACCTGCCTCCTTCTGTGAAGGAATCTCACAACTATTGCAACAGAACGCAAAAAAAAAAAAAGAATAAGGGAAAGACCAACAAGTCTCACACACCCCACTCTCATCAGCAAAAACAACAGCAGCACACAAATGCAACAAAAGTCCACTCATCTCATATGTAACCCTCTTCTTTTTACCACTACCCTCACAGAGGATCACCTTGACATACGGTACGCCACTGTTGCTGCTGCTGATGTTACTGCTGCCACGGTGGAGACGAACAGAGTCGTGTATGGCACCACCAAACGTCGCGTCGTAAGCAAAGAAAAGGATATTCCCATCCTGCAGAAGACCACACCCCCGGCCAGGCAAAATACACATGAATTGCATTTACATGTGAAACAAGGAAAAAAAAAAAACAACGGCAACAAAGCGGGGCACGCCATCAGCAGCAAAACAACAAAAAACGCTGAGAATAGGAGTGGCGGAGGTATATATATATTTTTTTGTTTGGACGGGGGGAGTCTTCCTCATTGGTTGGTATGGTGTCACAGAGGGCGACTTGCTCTTCGCCCTACCAACAAAACAAAGTATCTTTTTTTTTTTTGGTTACTGGCGGGGTTTGCCGCACTTGGAACAGAATTTGCTCTGGGCAGAGCGGAATACCGCCGCACACGCGTCGCAGTGCTGCGGGATCTGGGGTACAGTCTCTGTGCCGGCCCCCAGGCGTGGTAGCACCGACTGTGGGGGAGCCGTCAGCGCGCCTCCACCGGTCGGATCTTCGAGCACCAACTCCCGCACCGACCACTCGAGTGTGCCGAGGGGGAAGTACGCCTCACGCACCGGCAGCCCCTTCTTGGCGCGCTCCTCCTCCAACTCAAAGACCGTGGAGTGCGCCTCGCCATCACGGTCGCACACCACGCACAGGAAATGACTAGTAAACATGCTACACCCACACTGCTTGCACGACCGCGTCTGCGGGTCGTGCTGTTTGTGACCGTGGCCGCAGCGGCATTTGGCGGACCATTGTGACGGGTCCCAGTTGCGGCGGCGCGTCAGCCAACCTTCACCAATTTCCTCCGGTTCATTCGGCATGTAATTGAAGCCACTGCACCCACATAGTTTGCAGCGGGGGGCGGGAACGCGGCTACGCGATGGTTTCGGCGGGACATGCTCCTCGAGGGAATGATTGCAAAAACACCGGTGCTGGTAGCCAAGCCGTGTGCAAAAGTCCGTGTTAGATCCCGACAGTTTCGGCTGCTCGCATCGCCACACCGCATATACACCGGTCTTTAGCGCCATCATCGCTGCATCATTCTCACGGTTGAGAACTTTCTTCGACTGCGCAGAGGGACCGAAGCGTCGGATACCCTGAAGGACTTGTTCCTCCGACGTTGCGTGTTTCTGGAATTTGTTTTCGATCACTCTCTTCACACGGCTGGAGAGGTCGCGTATCTCCTCATGCACCTCATCGCTCTCTCTCACGACGCCATACTGCGCAGGCGTCCGCTGTGCAACAACCCCATGCGAGAGGGATGACGAGGGAAGCCGTGGCAGCGCCCGACTGTTCTGCTGCTCCTGCGATTTCCCATCACCTGCGCTTCCACCTGCCGTAACTCGTCTCATTCAAGGAATGATGATGAGGGTGTGTTGTTACCCTCCAAGTACGGGTGTGTGGTTGTGTGTGTGTGTGTGTATATATATATATATGTCTGTGTATGTGTATGTGTGGAAAAGGTTACCCAATGTGTGCCCCTCTCGTCTCCGTGCAAAAATTGTGCACGTGAATTGCGAAACCACAACACTCATGAAAGCAAAGGAAGATGAATGCATCGAGAATTGCTGCAACAGAAAATCGCAGACACACACACACACACACACACGACGCAAAGGCAAGGTCAGTATCTCCCTCAGAAGAATCTTAACCTCCACACATACACAACACTCCATAACAGAGTGAGTAAGAAAGAGAGTAACTCAAACCTCCTATGTTTCTCTTGATTCTTGCTGCTTCATTGCCACATCAGAGTGCTTCATCAGCGAGGGCAGTACGGGGAACCTCCAGACACTTGGAGAGAGGTACATCCTTCATGAGCTGCCACGTCACAGCACACGCGCAGAGTTTTGTGACAACATCCGCCTCTCTAATGTCATGGTACCCCTCGATGAGTCCTTCAGTGCGGGTATTGTGTCCCTCCTCCGCGCGGTTGATCGACAAGGCCGTCGCGAGGTCAACGACACCATTAAACATTGCAAGTGGCAGGAGGAGACTACTGGTAAATTGGGCCGCCACGCACATAGCAACGATCTGGTAGGGGTTCATTGACATCGCCAGCAGTGCATCCCGAACCTTTAGCACGGCGCCGGGTGGGATCTGTGCGTGGCCGATGCCAACAATTCGCGGCACATTCACTTCAAACACGCGTGCAAACCAATCCGCAATAGGCCCTATGATGCGGTCCTGCTCCTCCGCGATCGGGGCCGCGCGGAAGTACATGTTGTCATTCTGGTAGAAGGACATCAAGTAATCGACGCGCGGGGCAATCATTTGCGGGGCTACGGTCAGCGCGCCACTGCACATGTCTGTCATGGGCATTAGCAGCTTGTTAAGGTAGCCACTCTGTGCCGCGTACTCGCGCGCGCAGCAGTACGCCATCGCCTCGCTCGGTATCGCGAGAACATTAGTCGACTCAAACGCTTTTACCTTGCGCCCATCCACCAGCACAGTGTACCAGCCCTCGTGCCCGTCAAGCGGGCTCACGTCGACATCTTTCCAGAAGACACGCACAGCAGCGCGCGAGCGGTCCCGCATCGATACGTCCATTTGATAGAGCGAGTCCTCCGTGAGCACACGACTCTCTTCCTCCTCCTGCTTCTCCAGTTGCTTATACAACTCCTCGAGCTCCTGGGGATTCATCTTTGACCACTCTTCAATCTTGCGCTCCAGCTCGGCTGTTGAAAGCTCCGCGTGGGCACCGGGGTCCCGTGGGACGCGGTCAAGCAACGCTGACGCGTCAAGGTGAGGGACGATACGTCGCTTCGGTTTCTTCGGCGCAATGCCGACACTGCTGTCGCCCCTGGTGGAAGTGGGCCAAGAGGTGGTGGAGGAACAGCAGCGCCAGTTGCTGTCAAGCTGACAGGAGAGTCCGAGTGAGAAGGTCAGCTTTCTCGGCACCAAAAACTTTCGCATGGTGGAAGTTCTAAATAGTATTAATAATAATATTAGATTTTCTTCAGTCGATTTCGGTACCCTATTGTGGCTCTAGGTTTGCTTGTGACAATGTGTTTCTGCACGTCAGGGCGTGTGTGCACCTATCCGTTGCACGTCTGTCGACTACAAGGCTGAGTCGATACGAAATAGCTAATAGGGAGAGAGAGAAGAGAGAGTATGTATATTTGCAAATGAGTAGATTAGGAGTCTTGACATCCAGAATAAAATTGGGAAAAATCGTGATAGTGAAGATGCGGGTTTGCCCCAAAGCGTAACACGCACCAGAATGCCCCCACGACGATTTCACCGCCAAAAAAAAAAACGCTCACAAGAGCACTATCTGTCTCTTCAGAATCATACAGAACAACACCATATTTCAGAGTAAGTCATGACGCACATCTACGGGGGTTAACTCGTGCGCCCGGTCGCAGAAAAACTCCTCCAACTTCCAAGTGCGAAGGGCCCCTGGATCGTTCACGGCGTCAAAATGCGCCGGCACTGACAGCGGCGGCGGCAGCTCTGAACGCTCCTTGCCGTAGTTGAAATCGTACCATGACATCTGCAGCGCCGTTCGCTCGTGCGGGGCCACATCACACTTAGCATGCTCAAGCAGCTGCAGCGCCTCGAACGACCAGCGTGAGATTACCGTCAAGCCCATGGACGGATCCACGTGGTGGGAGAAGCTCTCCAGCGTCGCGTCAGACGAGGTGAGGCACACAACATTCGGCGCTTCGATTTCTAAGCACATGGACAGCGCACGGCACGTGTCGACGAGGAATACCACTTTGCGATAGCGCCGCTGCTCCCACATCATCATGAGCGTGTCGGCAACATCCATGGAGCTGAGGAACTCCGAGTCCTGAAACTTAAAGAACCCTTCCGCCGCATGACCAGCGGCGTATATCAAAATGTTGGAGTTCTCGTCCGTGTCAAGGCGACGCGAGGGCGGCGTGTGAACGTCGTAGCGACCCTGCAGCACACCGAGAAAGCGGCGCACGTCCACGTCGTAGCCAGCGTAATCCACCTGGACGTCGCAGCTGTACAGATTAACACGATCCGGGGCGGAGAGGGCGCTGTAAATAGTTGCAGGAAAGGGGTTCCGCGGATCACACGCGTAGCTGTCGCTGAGGAAGAGGAGTATATGGTCGTCATCCATCCCGTGTTTTCGGCACAGGTGGTACATCGTCAGCGCATTCGAGGCGTGGCGCAGGTTGAAGAAGTAGCGCGAGGAGGACAGAATAACAGCCCACGTATTTGTCTTTTCGCTAGTGGAGTTTGTGGCATTGCCGGACGCCGCCAGCAGACTGACAGCGAGGCAGCACCAAAGCAGAATACCTACACACCGCGTCATCCTGTTACACACCTGATTTGCGTCCCCACGTGAATCTGCTGATATATATATATATGTCTGTCTGTGTGTGTGTGCGTGTTTCAGGTGCGTGGATACCCCCTTTGGCGCCGCTCAGTGTACCACGCTTTGCTCTTCCTGGCGCGGATGAGGTTTCAAAAGAAGAAGAATCAGGAGAAGGGAGAGCAATTGAGACAATAAAAAAATAAGGGGAGAGAAATATGTCATTAGTTATCTGAGGCGGCAGACATGACGCAGCAAAAGCGATGCAACGCATCACTGTTCGCACATTTGAACAGGTACACACGACTCTCAAAAATCAAGAAGGTCACCACAGAAGGCCATGGTTTTAGTCGCCAGCATCATTACATTATTACATAAGATGAGCGTCGCGACTCCCTTGCTCTCTCTTTGTCTCGGGCACATATCACGTTAAAAGACGTTCGCTGCTGTCTAGCTGCTGCAGTCGAGGTGGCATTCGCATATGTGTAATGGGAATTTCAAACTCGTTCGCGCAGCCAAGAAAGGACTGTATTGACCCACCGATTTTTTCATCCCCGCGGCGTGTGGGGCCCACTGGCCCGTTCTTCCATATCAAGTCAAATCCGCCAACTCGCACCTCATCACCCGTCCGCCGCTTCTCAATGTCAACGACATTGAACATGTCCTCCAACATGTTGAATTTCAAGTGGTAGTCTGCAGGAGTCTCCGCAGAAAGAGATGGAGAGGCGTTTGTCTCAATAAGCCACGGGTGCAACTCGTTGTCAATCATAACATCATATCCATACAGCTCAAAGCAATGCTTGTCATGGACAATGATTTTTTGCACTGCCTGAAGAGAGCGTAGAATCATACTCTGAATGTCATCAAAGAGTTTCTGTGCAGCTTCCACCCCACGTGAAGCGGTGATATACTGCCGAAGATTGCGAAGGCCGTACTTGCAGCCGGAAGACGGAGTGTACTTTGGGTTCGTCTTCTGCACTGCCACGTTTGTCACATGAATGAATGTATTCTCAATATCCTTCAGTGAGAAACGTTGATGACAAAAGCGTGCGAAACCGCTGCGATGCAACCACACCGTGAGTGGGCTGTAGCCCGTAACGAGGACATAGACGCGCAGGTCATACTTCTTTCCGCCCACCAGGTGTGGGTTGTCAATGTAGCGCTGTGCCAAGTACGGCTCCACCTGCTCGCTGCCGTAAGCGCCGCCTGGCTTCTCGCCAAGTGTACCACCCTGTCGTTGCTTGTAGTCCTTGCGCCACTCCGCGACCTGTGAAATTTTCGAGAATAGAAAGATGCCTTTGCCTTGCGCCTTCGCTGGTGGCTTCATAATCCAAACGGCGTTTTGCTGGCGACGGAACTCCATCTCGAACAGACCGTAATCCTGTGGCAGCGAGAAGGTCACCGGGAAGAAGTCGAGCTCCATCGCCTCCTCTGTGCGCCCCTCGCGCTCAAGAGCTCTGCGCAGCCGCTTCAAGTTTTTCACCATGAGGTCCTTCCGCGTTAGCTCGAAGTGATTGCGGAAGTGGTTGATCCGCTGCACGTCGTCGAGCCGCACGTGGTCGTACATCTCACGTATCCACCCCACATCGGCCCAGAAGAAGTCCCACCCAAGGTCGCTATCGGTCTCCAGCCAGCCGCGGCTGCGCATCACGTCAAGAACGGTGTTGCGCAGAAAGGTGCGGAAGCGGATGGGGCCGACGCGCCCACGTCGCCCCCCTGACGGCATCGCAGCGCTGCTGCTGCTGTGCGAATGGGGGCGCCTTTCACTAACCCTGCGGGCAGCAAAGGCAGAAGAAGCACCAGGAACGACACAAATGGTGAAAAAAAAAGACGTTTACAAAAAAAAGAAAACACAAGGAGAGAAATTGTGTGCGACACCTACACCTATATGCAGCACAATGAGAACCCGTACTTCAAGCATAGACAGCGACAGAAAACAAGTACAAAGAGAAAGTTGTATTCCAGTTTGTAACTCTCTTCTCTTTCCCTTTCATTCTTCTTTTACTCCACGTGAGCATCGGTCATCTGTCACCTTCACAGGCAGCAACAGCAAGAGTCTGCGATACCCCACGGTGAAAAACAAACAACAACACCGACAACAACAATAATCATCATCATTCTGAAACTGCTTAACCGCATTCTGCGTGCCTCTTCAGAGGCACAATCACCAAGCAGACAGAGTTTGAACTTTGGACGACATTCCAAACACTCCCAAGTATGAAAACAACGCGTCCTCCTTTCCGGCACGCAGCAGTGCATAAATATGACGAAGACGTACGCGGTGGTAGGCAGAGCAGACGTCCAACAGTGTGTCCATTTTAGCTCTGCAGATGGGGCTCGAAATCTCAAAACACTTAAAAAGCATCTTAAAGCACAGCTCCATTTCACACCTCTCCATGTGTGGAGAAACAGCGATGTATACCACAATCTCATTGAACAGTTCACCGATGATTTCGCTTTCCACAGAGATAACCCCATTGGCGCTGCACCTCTCCATGCAGAGGAAGACTGGCTCAATCGTACAGAGGATATCAAGCAAGAATGTGTAATGCAAGCACTTTGTCAGGTGCCTAAGCAACGGCTGCCAGAGTCCTTCTGCCTCCATGAGTTCACACAATCGAGTACCAAGTTCTCCTCTCGACATAAAGGCCTTCGTGAAGGCCCGGAACACACGTTCGCCGCAGTTCCGGCGCGCCATTAGCAACTCCACAGAAGTGGACAAGAATAACGACAGAAATTCTCTGAATGCAATGAAGAAGTCGTCACTGTAGAACAAGAAGACACCTAAATTACACCAATGACCACAAATAAGGTTATACATAATGTCGGCAATGTCGTACACAACGTTCTCGCTCACGGCATCTGAGGTGGGTAACTGTAAAAATTCCTTCCCACTCCAACTCCAACTGTCATAAGCCCCCATGACACCACCAATGGAACGAACTGCGAAAGACGCGAGGCCCCATCTAGACTCGCACTTGTTGTCTTCTCTCAACAGCTGTGTTGCCAACATGCACAAACGCGCGCATAGCCGCAACACTAGCGGTGCACTTGCGGGTACTGACCGCATCACATTCTTTACCTCACAGCTCTCGTCGATCACAGCATCGAGAAGCCAGTAAAAGGCTTCAACCTGGTGAATGCCATCTACAATGGCGTTCAGATCACGCAGAAGTGCGAGTGGATCTGCGGAAAGACGTTCCTGGTTCAGTGCGCGGGTAATAATGAATGGGAGGACATCCAATGTTGGATACCCTGCATAGTGGCGGGACTCTACAAAAAAGGTTAGGGCTGTTAGCATATTTGAGCGGGCCTTTCCCGCCTCTGGTGAGAGCTGGTCGCTAGTGGCACACAGCAGGTCAATACGCTCTTCCTTAACGGACATAAGGATCGACGTCATCTTCTCAGAGGCCAGAAAGCAACCGCGCACACCCTGCGACAAAACCTTCGTAAGAATATTGTTCGCATCCATAACAAGAGATGTCTTGTCACTATGGTGCACGTAGACAAAGCGCAGAAGGCTTATCATGACCTCGTAAAACTCATCATTCCCTTCAGCTTGGGATTCATAGACACAACCACAGAAGAAAAATAGGGAACGCAGTACACCGATGTGCACATTTCCCATCCCATCGGCTTCGTTGTGTTGCACACCGTTGTTGTTGTTATTGTTATTGCCGTTGTTGTAGCGAGCGTCTAGATCAAAGAGTGAGAGGCTCTCCAACAAGGCACTAGTGAGTGCATCGTCGACCGAGAGTAGTCCCCGCGCAAATCGGGCAATAACACCCAAAATTTCATCACTGCGGTTAGCCGTACCATTTAAAACGGCGATGGCTACAGCAGATATGATGACAGAGAGCCGAGAGAGGCACACGTGCGTAAGAAAGAGAGGAACATCGGCTGCACCCAAGGTGGAACAAAGGGCATTTGTATCTATAGCTAGGGAAAACATCAAAACACTGAGCCCCTCAGTGTCCCCTGCCTCTCGCGCGCGCACGCAACTCTCATACTGCTCAATGGTGGTTAACAAACGTCGCGCAATAGAAGTGTAGAGATCTATTCTCTCACAAAATAACATCTCTGCAATCGGCAAAAGAGTTTTTTCATTGTGTAGCATGACGCCGACGTCTGAGCGTAGCTCGTTGGAGTCCTCCGTGAGATGCGCCTTGGCAACGACGTTGTCGAAGTAGCATTGTGCCACCTGCAAGACATCTGTCATTATAGGCCCCGCTCGTACATCACCATTCTCCATCGCCGTGACACGCGGCACAATACATTCACCAAATAAAAAGAACATGTGCATCAACTGCTGTCGCAGCTCCTCTTCACCATCCTCCCATTGGCACAACACACGCTGCGTTGCCAGCACCCACATATGAATGAGTTGGGGACGATTGTACAAATACGCCGTCACCTTCCCCTTGTCTCGGTCGAACACGTTCACGAGGATGGCGCAGCTTAGCTGAAGTATGTGACTATAGCCGGTCGACTCATAGAGCGCCAGCAGCTCCTCCGAAAAGACGAGGAATGATTCGTTGAGCTCGTTCCGCGTCTGAAACCACTCTGGGTCTATGCAAACAACGGCTGAGGCCATCCGCAGAAACCGCGCACAAGGACTGTTCATCCCCATGACCGGGTCATCAACAAAGGCGCGGGCACACACCTGTACGGCGAGGGGCAGGGCCGGAAACCATCCCGTACCATTCTCCAAGTAGACGGAGTCATCCGTCGTGTGCTGCACAACAATGCGGGGGTCTGTCAGAGATGATGGCACATTCTCCAGGGAGGTGCAGCAAATCTCCAGAGCACGCTGGCCATAGGAGGAAATCTGTCCAGCCGCAAATTGAAAACAGAACGGAAGAACTTCCTCCGCAAAGGCCACACGCACGCGCTCGAGAGAGCCCTTTGATTCCTGTCGTGCAAAGAACGTAAGCACCTCTAGTACGCAATCCAGCACATCGCTAGCGGGGAGTTGGGCAGATAACTCGTCAATGATATGCTTGCCCATCCCTTTCTGATCCTCTTCCATCGATATTACTGTCAGACGCCAATTGACGTAGATGGCAGCGGCATAGATAGAGTAGAGTTCGTTGCGCACGTACAACGGAAGTGATTCACCGCGTTCTCGCACCGATGTTAGGTAGGTCAGAACATAAGCCTGCATGTCCCTCCTCTCCTGTGGTCCAAGCTCGTTGCTCACGATGAATTGCATTACTTTGCAGACGATGAACCGCAAGTAGTTGTTCTCTGCCCGGGGCAACAGCGCCTTCACAGACTCCCAGTGATCGTAGCAGCTCATGAATCGAAGCCGCTTCGCTGCCTCATCTCGAATACCCTTCTCTGGCGAAGTCAGAACCTCTGTGGCGAGCTGCGTAAGCAGCTCAATGCTCATCCCCTCCATTGTGTCTAACTTTCCCTGTATTCTCGCTCCACCCTCACCTTCAGGCTTTCCCTGCTGCTGTGTCCCCGATTAACGAGATGTGCAACACTGGCAATTTTGTACTCGAGAAATACGAAACACCGCAAATGCACAAAAAGAAAGAAAGTGTCACCGGGACCTCTTACGCCACGAAGAAGTATAATAAGGAAGTCAACAACAATAATAACCAAATGAGACACCCAACAAAAAAACTCCGCTGATAGACTCTTCAAGAAAAGACTATTGACGTGATCTTGTTTCTATTAAGCGTCTACGTAATGCAGAGTGTCGGGTCGGAGGTCGACTACTGCTGATCTACACCTTGTTTCCTTCCTTTTTGTTTATATTCCTTCAACTTGCGTGCCCCGACGTCACCTTCCGCCACCTCTTTTTCAAGGTATCTATACACCCCAATCCTCTGCAGCAACAAAAATAAAAACAAACAAACAACAACAACAAAAGAGATGCAAAGAGAAACAACAGCGCGCCGCTATGTCACATTAACGCATGTGAAGGCGTGCAAGCATATGTGTAGAGGGAGTTGCAGCAGCATAATAGGCGGCCGCTTTGTTCCTTTAGAACGAAGAGAAGGAACAGGAGGATGGTGGGGCTGTCGTCAATGAGAATGATAACAACCAAAGAAAAGACACTCAAACGAACCCCACAAGGAGTAGCCAGCGACGTAGTCATAAGGACAACCAATTCAATACCCGTATTTCATGAGGGCGGCCGGGCTACCAGTGGGCGCGGAGGAGGGTGCGACAACGTGGACTGTGGACCGCAGGCCAAACCGCCGGCTCCGCGAGCTTCGAGACGCACCAACGCCAACGTCATTCTCGTGTGCGACAGGCACCACAAAGCGTCTAGACGCAACCGATATGCCCCTGCTTCTTCCGCGAGCCTCAGGCGAGGATGCGCGCAAAACAGGCATTCGCCTTCTTTTCGGATCAGCGGAAAATGAGAGCACTGCATCAGGCAGCCTCCTGAAATGTTTTGCCGTCGCCTGCGATGGCTTCAAAAGCGATGATGATGATAATGGTACTTCTTCTACTGCTGGGTTAACGCTACGCCGCCGCTGTTGCCATAGATGCGCTGCCAGCATCCACAGCGCCCGCCCATATGTTAGTGCAGGGCCTTCTTTCACCTGCTCTGTGGACGCAGCAGTCAGACTCAGAAATGTTGCCCACTCCCGCCGACTGCGGAACTGCAGCAGTAGGAGCGTGGCAGCGCCTGGCGCATCCAGCCGCCACGGCCTACCGGTGTCACCGTTTGTGCACTGCGTACTGTTGCGAGATATAAGGAAAACATGGTACGACGAGGACTCCGGGCGAGCAAAGAGTGTACAGAAGAATTTCACCAGCCACCGTCGCGCGCTCCGACCACACAAGACGCCCCTGATGACTCCGTTTGCATCGTTTCCCAGAACGCCGAAAGGATACAATAAAAGACTGTCCACAAGTGGAAAGTGATGCACCTCCCGCACCCGGCGCGCCAAAGACCCACCTGTCCCTTCATCTTGTCCTCGTTGCCGTGATTGTTGTTGTCGTTGTCGTGGTGGTGTGTTTGTGATTGTTACCTTAGATGGGTCGCCCAGCTTTTCTAACCGCTCTACTTGAAGGAGCACCTCTTGCCGATCCGCTGAAAGTCGTAAAAGCGTCGGTATCATTCTTCCTTCACGCGGTAGGACATCCGTCACGACACCACGCCGCTGTAGCACGGCCAGAGCCTGAGACACCGACATGATTGGTGATGTAGCCCTTACCGGGGTCTTGTATGACGAAATGGAAGGAGACATGAGGCGACGCACATAAGACGATCCAGGAGGATGAGTGTTGCGTGGCGTCTGACTCTCCCCATCAAGGCAGGTCGTCATTGATTTGGATACTACCGATGAGGAAGTGGACGACAACGATGGCGGCGGCATCAAATCCTCTACACGTCTATGAGGAGACAGCAGTAAGTGGTTAGGACTGGGGACCCTGTCCATAGGACTGATAGTGTGGCGAGACGAACGGGGTGGCGCTCGCGCTACCTCTGGAGCCTCCAACGGCGAGTCTTGTCTCCACATTGGCGGAGATGTTGAACTAGACGAGGATCTATTTGACGACGGTGGTCGCGTAGCGCTCACTGCCATTGATTCACCGTACGACGACACAGGATCAGTAGCAGTACGATACGGTGGCTGTGGAAGAGGAAGTGGAGCAGCAGCAGCAGCAGGGGGATGGGGGGGAGCAGCGGGGGGAAGACGGACAGGCCATGAAGTCAAGTTTCCAATCCCTGTATGTGCCCGTAGAGCAGCGAGCTCCTTTCCGTGAACCTCAATCGCACGCAGCTCCTCTACAGTGAGAGCGCAATGCTTTTGCGCCTCCGCTGCACTGCAGCGCGCCTCCTCCTCCAACTGTTGTAGCCTAGCGATGCGCTCTGATTCGGCCCGCTCGATCTGCGCTTCGGCCTCCGCAAGTGCTTGCTGGCGTACCAGCACTGCCGAACGACGCAACTCGCGCAGCATTGCTAATCGCTTTTCCTCTGCGGCGCGACGCTCTAAAAGACGTTGCCTAGACGCTTCTTCAAGTTCCGCCATACGCGGAGACACTTCGGTGGGCACAACGTCATTGTTGTTACATTGCTGGTGGCACTGTTTTTCTTCCTCCTCAACCTGATTTCGCTGCTGGTGCTGATCTATAGTGGGAATGAGCAAGAGCGGTGGTGACCGCATTGGAGACGGCGTCGAGGCTTCACATTGGCATTGCCGCTCCGAGCAGCTAGGGCACAAAGGGCCGACAGATACATCTGGGCCACTCAAGCGGTTCGCAGTGGTCTCATCTCGCAGCGGCTCTCGCTTCTCTCGTGCGTAGCGCAAAGAGTCTAGTAACCTCTGTGCATCCTCGCGCTCCGCTTGCAACTCATGCCGTCGCTGCTCCGAGCGACGCTCCGTCCACGATGGCAGGTGGGGTACGAGGCTAAATGAATTTCTTCTCTCAGGGCTATTACTTCTAGCTCTAGGGAGGGAGTTGGTATGGGCTCGGCGGCTGTCGACTGCAAGCGTCTCATCAATTGTGCGCATAACGCCTCGTAGTCGTCGGTGAAAGTCACTACGAACGTCATTAGTTGTTATGATCATTTGAACCAAGCTCCACCCGTGCCTTCTGCACGCTGCTTGATTTAGAAGGTACACGTACACTCCCCGCCTTCATTGTTTTTTTTTTGTTGTTGTTGTTTTGTGTGTTCAGCACAGGGCAGAAGGATAGAAAAGTAAGCAACACATAGAAACGGAGAAAAAAGGAACCACTGGAAACGGAGGTGTCACCCCAGCCGTCGGCGTTCACCCGCAATGTGTCCTCCATGAGACAGAGTATAAAAACAAACAACAAAAAAAGATCATCGCCTGGTGCCAGAGTGTACGCGCGTCAGAAAGGAATTCCACATACTCCATATCCTTGATTGTGGAACACAAACCAAACGATTAGTCCCCATCCTTATCTTTTGGAAAGACTAGCGTCAGCTCATTACCGCGACTGCACGCGAATGTCGTATTTGTGGTAGACTACGGTGGCCAACGTAATGAGGGCGCATCCCCACAAAAACGCCATGGAGGGAACAACTCCCCAAATGGAAAACGACATCACGCCGCTCACAACCACTGCGACGCCTGTAGCGAAACCCTTGACAATGTTGTCGGCATACTTCACAGCAATTGCAACAAGCAAACCACCAAGGGCGTGTATGAAAACGAGACAGAGAGTAAGCCACTGATCGTAGCCACGCCAGTACTCGAATGTCTGTTCTTGTTCTGCAGGGTTACGCCACGTCGGTAATATATCAAGAAAGAACATGGAGATCGCAGCAAAAGGGATGCCAAATAACGATAAATGGATATTCCGCACTGCCAGCGACGGAGCCGTCGTTTTAACAACCTTTTCAAAGTACACACCGGCATAACTTGAGGAGATTCCCGAGAGCACACAGGCGGCAATTCCAAGCAGAGGGCGTTGTGAATTATGCTCTTCAGACGTCGGTATCGTTTCTGTTTTCTTCAAGTCCTGTTGCTGCGTGAGGAGGACTCCCAGCGTTAGCACGAACAGTGAAACCCACTGCATCATTGAGAGACGCCGCCCAAGCATTAGAACAGACAGAACGGCTGCAGAGAGCAGCTTTGTCTGCGACCACACCTGAAATGTTGTTGCATCTAGATTTGCGAGACCGACGAAAATAAGATAGTTCTGCAAAGTAAACAATGCGGCAGGAACAGAAATCTTTAGGGTCTCCTTGTGGAAAACAACACGCCAGAGAAGTGTCGACACGCTGGGGGAAACGGCAGAAGTATCCCGGATTTCAAGAAGTGGAGCCCTGAGAGCGAGCCGGTTCTCAACTGCAAATATGATGATGCAAAGCACCATCTTGACGACCTCCTGATTGAGCACGAGCGTAGAGGTGTGATAGCGCATTTCCGGGGGTACATTGACACGTGAGTAGCGCGTTAAAACAACCAATATGCTGTTCTGCAACACCAGAAAAATTAGACTAAGAGCCACTGGTGAGGCCAACCACGCTGGAGACATGGGCCGATGTAAGGAATACACAAATGCACACGCACACACAGACACACCCACACAGAGGGAAACGAATAGACAAATAGACAAAAGGAACAGATAACGTTTTGGATCTACCAGGAACAGGCACCACGAACTGACTGTCTTCAACACGACGCAATAAGATCAGCACGCGCCTGTTATTTGTATGATCCTACTTCCGTGCGTCCACGTCGGTGTGCAGCAAGAGGCCGAAGGTCGCCTCTCTTTTTCAATTCTTATTTTTTTTTTTTAAAGAAAAAAGAAAATGAATAAGCAAGAGCAAAACAAAAAAATAAAATAAAACAAGGAAACACTCCACACAAGCAGCAGTAAGCACACAAACAAAAGAAAAAAACACATGTGCCAAAGAGGCATTGCATGTAGAATGCATACTTCACAGTGGCACCACCAAATACGTCGTAGAGCAGCAGCAAGTATTCCACACACACACACGCACACATAAACAATCGCGCAGAAACAAACAAAGAAGCCAACAGGCACATACTAAAAAGGTGTGTTACCCCACTTTGCTAGAAAAAACTCCCATTCCCCCTCCTACCCAGGCGTATGACTCCAGCACTACATGCCACACCATCGACAAAATCGGTAGAAAAGCCGGCATGTCATAAGATGTGTGCGTCTGTGTTTATGGTGGCCGTACCGCCAGAATATCCCTACACTAACGCTACCCAACTACTTCTTTACTTGTGGCGGCGCTGGCTTCGCCTCCCAGAACATGTACTCTTTTTCGTATCCATTTTTGTTGTCACTAACGCACTTGCGATGGTCGTGGATACGTTTATACATCCACTCCGAAAGATTCACCACATCCGATGTCCTCTCCCATCCAGGCGGCAGCCGTGCTGGACGCTGGTGCTCGGCGTAGTCCCGTGTCTTCATGCGGGCCTCACTATATTTCTTCGCCGCTATATTTACCGCTGCTATACCACTCAGACTAGGCTTCGGTTTGTGGCTGAGTGCGCTGTTCACACCGTTTAGAGCAGCCTTTACCACACGTCCTGACGGCCGCGGGAGAACAGCGTTGCGGGGTGTCGGTGCGTCCAGCTGCGCCACCGTCAGGGTGTGCACCTCCGGCACAGTGAGCTGCCATTTGGAACGCACCGCCGGTCTCGTGGTGCTGACGTAGCACTTACCTTGACCCGGTGGCGGCGGTGGGTGCCGCGCCATGACCCAAGACGGCGTGAGGTGGGCAGCCTCCTTTGTTGTCGGGAACAAGTCACCGCCACCACCACCCAGTCGCCACATCGTCCTGCGCAGCATGAATGAACGTGAGGAAACGACACGAAACAATAAAAAAGCTCAAAGGGGAAAGAAATATCACCCCCCCAAAAAAAAAGAAATAACTACTCAACTGCTATGGGTTATTCCTTTTTTGACGACACGGCTCACTTTATCGGGGCAAAACAAGGGGCAAACCAAGTGAAAGGGGGAGCCAATGCAGTAAGAGAAGCAGTAATAACGGGAAGTAATGGCGAATACAGTGAGCAACTGCCGTGCCCTAGAAGGAACGGGTGAGGTGAAAGAAAATATACCGCATTCAACCTTTGCGCATAGCGTGGTTCCCCATCTCCACCGCCACATTGAGGGCATCGAGGCTGATGTCATCGCTCCTATCCTGTACTTTGATACGGCGGCGCATGCCATATTGTCCCTTTTCATAGCTATTGTGTGGCAGTGGTGGGGGAATGTGCGGAGTGCGTGCGTAGAACTCGCGCTCCGACTGTTGCTGCGCCGCATAACGGGCGTCCATCTCCGCACGATGGGAGCAAAGCTTCTTCATGGGATCAATGCCATCCTGCAGCTTGGGGGGAGGTGGACCGCCCTGTACAAACGCCCTGCGTGCCACAAAAAGTGTTGATGTGGCCACAGACAACAAGGCGGATGACGCACACACTGAGGTACTCTGCATGGCCCCACTATTTGTTTGTTTCCCTTGTGTGACTCGGTGTTTTTGTACTTCTTTAACCGAAACAGAGAATAGAAACAATGTGGAACTAAGTGGGGCAAAGATCTCCTGAGAGTGTCATTCGTTTTTTTGTTTCTTGTTGGCTTGGTGATCCCGTTGACCGTAGCGTCGCCCCTGAAGTACAGAAGCAGAGGCGCGCATTGCTCTTTCAATGGTTCTTAAATAAACAGCCGTTGATGGATATTTCAATAGGCAAAAAAAAATTTACAGAAGAAACAATTAGACTTTGCTGAAAGGCGAAACCAACAAAAAAAAACAGCAGATTCATGCACCATCAACGCCATCCATGGGATATTGCTTATAAGCATGACTTGAAGGGCATACACAAGGATTATCTTTTATGGGCCTCCTGCGAATCTTCGCGCCTCTGGGCAATGAATACAGAAGTTGTCTCTGGAATTGCTGCACCGCCCACAGACACAGGGTTCTCCATCAACTCCGCATCAGGAGAATTAGCATCGAAACCGCTCGGTGTACCGCCTCGTACTGCCCACTCCCCTGTTGGGCTCGGCACGAAAGCAATAAGCACAGCGAATACGCCACAGGCACTACCAATAATAGCCCCGGCCAGAATGTCTGAAAAATGGTGGTCATTATCACGTGTCCGAGATACGGCGGTCACAAAAGAGAAAATGAGAGGCAACAGGGAGATAAATGCCAGGCATAGCCTACCGTTGCGAAATGTCCTTGTCAGACCAAGCAAATACATTGCCGGTGGAACGATCCCGGAGAACGCAGAGGAACTGTGGCCAGAGGGAAACGACAGCCGCCCCTCTCGAGCTGCACGGCACACGTACTCTTCCGTGAAGCTTCCAATAGTTGCCTCTGTAATGTTCTCATCTTCCAAGAGCGCTATGAAGTCAGGACGCAGTCTCCCAGCGTATACTTTAATCAGAGCAACGATGCAGAATTCGAGGGAGAAGCTAAACATATGCACAGCAAACCAACTGTTAATAAGGTACATCGCCTTTTTTCTCCCATGCTTTCCCCCAAGGTACAGCTCTCCACACGTGTACAGTAGTACAGTGAGAACAATGGCAATAATAACGGCGAATATGGGGACTGTCTCATCTTCTTTCTTTTGGTGCATGATGCTGCTGTCGCTGAATGACACAGGACGGCAGTATGGCTGCACATAGGATCCAACAAAAGCCCCAATGGTTAGAAGGATGGCACTTGTCAAATAATCTGGAAGCCTCCATTTCCATACAAAATGCATCTTTAGTATAATTACTTTTTGTTTCCCACTTTAACCTTTTTTTTTTAAAAGAAAGAGAAGAATAAAAAACTCTTAGGCCGAAAAAAAATTTATTAAGCACTTCAAGTCATCATCAAGAGCTCCTCCATACATCCTTGATTCTAACATGAAAGTACACGAATAAGGCGTATGCAACCCAAAGAATGATTTACGCCTAAATCCGCCGAAGTAAAAACAACGCATATAATCGAAACCTCCTTCATGGGTTTTCGTTAGGTGCACTTCGAATGTCCCTCTTCGATACAAATTCCATTTGGCGAGGGACTAGCGTACCTGTTTGTTCATCTACACGAAACAGGAGCCCAACGGAAAGAAGAGCGCAACATGCCCCAATAATGCTTCCTGCCACAATATCAGAAAAATTGTGGCGGTTGTCTCGAGTCCGTGAGACAGCGACGGTTATAGGGAGAATTAGTGGGATGAAACTAACGACGGTGCGCCAGAGGGAGCCGCCGCGGAACGCCTTCAGCACCCCCATGAAGTACATAATCAGGGGGACAAAGGCGGCAAAAGACAAACCACTGTGTCCTGAAGGAAAGGATAGCCGTCCCTCACGAGCGACATCACACCAGTCCACACCAACCGACGACGAGGTGTAACCTTCCCTCTCCAGCCTTGCAAGGAAGTCCGGGCGCAAGCGACCAGCGTACAGCTTTGTAGTGTCAATGATGCACGTGCAAAGTGCCAGAGAAAACGACTGAGCGAGTAGCCAGTGATTTACTGCCTCCACGCACAGCCAAATCCGTATTTGACCCTCTGATCGATCCAATGTCGAAACCCCTGCGTCAAATTCTCTGTTTATTTGAGTTTCCTCAGACTGAATCCGTCGCCTCTGCAAAGTGTTGCAGACGACGTCGTTAAGGGAGCCCACCGGGTTCTCTTCCATAACAAAATTCTGCCGCACCTCAAACGCTGAAGCGTAAGCTCCGGA